GAGAGACAGAGAGAGAGAGAGAGAGAGACAGAGAGAGAGAGAGAGAGAGAGTGAGAGAGGGTGAGAGGGAGATAGAGGGGAATATGTTATTCATAAAATCCATTAAAAATCGTAATGTATATAAATATAAAAATGTTTAGTGTTTTCGCTTAGTAAAATTGTGCATGAAGAGGTTTTGTTATTCATCAATTTCCACTATTAAACGCCTTAAGTGTTAATCATATTACAATATTTATTTTATTATTGTTGGAATTCAAAATATGAGATCACAAACCATGAATCATTTTGAATATAATCAGTTTTTTTTTTTTTTATTATTAAACGATTTCATTAAGTAAACAGACGGACTGGAAAAACGAATAAAAAAAATTGAAACAGGAATGCATTTTTATTAAAAGCTAACATTTTTGAAAGGCGAGACACAAAAATGATCTGGAGAAAAACAAGAAAGAATAGTGGCCGATGACTTAATGCCCTTGCTTGACAAAAGTAGTTTCAAATAGTGGAAGCATTATCGACCTTGAACTTGAAAATTATAATTTCTTATTTAGCTTAATTAAACGATTTATCTAAAAATATAATACCTTAGTACTAAGCTACATTTGCATTCGCAAATGGCTAATTAATTGGTAAACAGCATGCCTATAAGCAATGCTTAATTATCTGTTGCTTAAAAAAGCTCCTTGAAGCATCAAATTGGCAAATAAGCATAGGCAAATCAATTATTAAGAAAGTTTGATGTATTATAGTGTATTAAATTGTCGTCAACGTAACCAAAATGTTTTATTAATAATCTGTGTAAATGTTTGCGGTATGAGGCAAGCATTTAAGGGTATTCGAATATCGCATTAAAGGAATCATCTGCGACGCCATAAAGTGGCAAGAGGTCTGCACAGTTTGTTGTTTCCCTCATTGGGGAACTTCTTGAGGCTGACGTCAGCCGAGGAACGTGAAATTTCATTTAAGATAAAAATAGATTGGAATTTTGTAGATTGCTGCTAGGAATGAAATAAAAACGAAAGCAGCAATAATCTATAAGGTCATATTGAACGCCGTACAGAGCCTGCCTACACGCAATTTCTTAGCCAAGCCCGTCTGCATGATACCCAACTCTTTGCACTTACCTTATCGCGCGAGCGCAGAAAAGCTTTCAGCTGAAATAAGGCACTTGGATCCGTGGCGCCCACGGAGGGCGCCTTTGAAATAGGCACCAAGTAGTCACGATAGCCGCGCAAAATGCACGCCATGAAGAGCAGAAATGCCTCCTGAATGCGCTGCTCTAGCACCAGCTTAAATCAAAAAACAATAAAATAAAAATAAACTAAATATAATATAATAATATAATAATATGACGGGTAGCTTGCCTCACGCTTGCGCTTCCGTATGTCACGATCCAAGCTATTAGTGGAATCGTAGCTAATGGGCTTGGCGTTCTCCAACTCGGTGAGCGTCTGTCTCAGTAGACGTGCGGCGCGCTTGGGCAGAAGCTTTGGCGTCAAATGACGCTGCGAGTCGCACAACTGCAGAAGAGAGAGAGAGAGAGAGAAATAAAAGAATAGAGTAATTGATAGCTGAGATGCGTATGAGACATGCGTACGCTGATGTTATTGGTGTCCAGATCAATGCAGGTTACATCTGTGGGCGGCTCGTACAGATCAAAGAAGCGCGAGTCGACGCCAATCAAATAGGGCAGAGGCGCATGCAAAACCTCGGCCAAGCCCAGCGGGCACAACGGTATATAGGGGCATTGCCACTTGAACGGAAACAACAGCGAGACAATCGCCTCAGCAACGGCAGTCAGCGTTGCAGGTCTGCAAGTGAGAGCGTGGTTAAACGAAACAATTTACAAACAGTAGATAAAGTGCATACACACATACCTGAGCGAGTGTATGAGTATCTTTTGTTCGGTGAGCGCAAGGAGGAGTACGTGCAGGCAATTGTCGGTGCCTAAATTCTGGAGCAACATGTGAAAACCGGCGCCACTGCGCGGCAATGGCGAATCCTCTGGCTGTGTGAGCAGAATACGATCATTCGACTCGCTGGACATCTGTAGATGTATGCTAGGCGCCGGGAACGGCACCTCGTCCAGCAGCTGGATAATGTAACGCTCCACGGGTATTGGTATATTGACGCCATACAAGACCATGCGCTAAGGGAGACAAGACACTTGTTAGCGGACATCTGTTAATTGATCTTCACGTCGCTTACGTGTAAGTATTTAAGCCATTTATCGAAGGTGTCGCCAAAGGGATGGTGCGACAGCAAGCAAATGGCCTTGATCATGTGCAGCGAGTGCTGTGACGCAAACTCCTCATCCCAGCCAAGCAGTTCGCATTGCTCCGCAGATAGCTGCGATGCACTGGAATAGCAAAAAAAAAAACATTTGAGCCAGGAATCAGTTATCAATTTGTGCGCTGCCTACTCGTAATCCTCGTAAAAGGTAAGAGCCGAGCCGTAGACCTTGTAGGTGCCATCGCTTACAGTCAGCACAAAAGTGCTGAATACTGGGCTGATGGGTTTGCGTTTTTCGGTGCCATTGACATGTGGCCAGGCCTCCAGGCTGGCGCCCATGGGCAGGCAGAAGAGCGGCACGCTCGGGCATAATTTGAGGGGAAAGTCCGTGTGATCTACGGTGGGATAGCGCAGTAATATTTCTGGCTTATAGCTAATGTGCTTGGGACGGTACATGGACTTCTTGTAGCACAAATATACATCGCTGCCCACATAGCCCTTGTTCAGCGTCTTGTAAATGAGACAGAAGGCATGCGGCGGCCGTTCCCCTTTGCTCTGGACAATCACGCACAGCTCTGTGACCACCAGTTCGTTGCAGGGCATGTCTGGACGGGCGCGTCGATATGTGAGAAAGGTTTTTGCCGACGAATTATTCACATTGGCCACACGACCGCCGGGCGTTTCGGCAACAATTTCCGCATCCGACATGATGCGTTCATGGCCATCGTAAAGCACGCCTAAATGACAAAAACAAACAAATGTACTCAGAAGATTTGTTTGGCTGGTCTGGATTTGCTTACCGATATCCACTAGCGGCGGCCGATCCTTGCCGCGTCGGAAGTATATGTAACATTCGGTGGTGCGTACCGAGCCATGATTAAGATTCGCCGGCAGTCCTGTTGGTGTGTGCTCCAACAGCTCATAGCCATCGGGCAGCTGCTCGCCCAGCAGCGGAAAGAAAACGCCAATGTCCGTGATGGGCTCAATTGTATTGGCCGCACGCAGCCGGCCCGAGTCATTGAATATGTTCTCCTGCAGCAGCTGCGGCTGCTCGGGCATGCCGGCCACCACAAAGTAGTCCGCTATGCGCTTCTCCTCCATATCTTATGCTGTAATCGGTCGTGTGTTTGTTTCAACTGCAAAGAAACGCCAAAAAGGGTATACTTTAAGTTTGGTGATTAGATAAAACGGACGGGTAGACGGTAGACACAGCCACGGAGTCAAGTCGCGAGCGGCAGCTGGCGCAAATCTTTGTTTACATTGCCGACGTCGTCGCTGCTATCGCCGAAAGCTGATTGCAAATGCGCACAAGTCGAGTGAAAATCAAAGTAATAATAAAAATAACTAAGCGAACTTTGCTGGAATCTCGATACGAACGGCGTCGCTGTCGTGGACTTTGCTGTTGTTGCTGGTTTGTATTATGCTGCGACCACAGCTTACAACAAAAACAAGTTCCGCATGATGATTCAACGACGTTTCCGCTGCCGTTGCTGCTGTTCAATGCCAGGCCTTTTGTTTTGTTGCTGCTGATTTGGTTTTTGTTTACAGGAATCGAAATTCGCTCCCGTTGCGGTTGTTTCAGACTCGTATGCAAAACTTACAAATCCGCTGCTGTCTTTTTGGTCGTTGTTGTTGCAGCTGCTGAAAAAAGCGCTGCTGCGTCTTTGATTTCAGTTTTCAGTTTTCGTCGTCGTTTCTGCAACTTCTTCACACTACGTTAATTTCTACACAGCGTTGCACAAACACACACAAGCACACACACACACGCATACACACGTTCATACTGACAAGACACGAAATCATACATACATATCGATATGTAGGCGGCGACATTCGCCCACTTGCACTTTGTCTTGACTTTGTGCCCTTAACTATCGCGCGTCTTTTGTCCAATTTGTTACGTCGCAGCCGTTTAATGCATGCGAAATCGTAATCAATTGAAAGCTAGAGTTGTTGTTTTATCGCACATCGTTTACATGCAATTTCGATATTACAGTATATGTATCGATTATTATTATTAATGTTATTTTTTAATAGTGAGACTCCTGAAACCCATATCCAGCGAAACAAATTCAACTTGTAAGTTTTGTGCAACCATAAATTAACCTCCAAAGTACAATTTCATTAATTATTGCAGTTGTGTTGTTGTTGTATTGTTAACACCCATAAAATACGATTGCATCAACGTAAGAATAATTTTATTTTTGAAATTTATTATACAACAACATTAAATGGATTTCATTGATTACAAAACATTCAATTTAATTTCCAATTACATTTAGATTTAATTATTGAAAAATATATATAACAAATGCAAATAGTAGTTTTGGTATTTTAGTTTCACACTTTAAATACACAATAGCTTCCGCCAAATCGAAAATACGATATTTTTAATGATGCATTATCGATAGTTAGCAGCTCTTATTCGCTCATCTCAAAGCATTGGCGATAGTTAAAAACGATCAGAAATTCATCGTAAAGTAGTATCGTTGCTGCACGACACTCAACAATCGTGCTGCCTCTGGGCTATCGGCAACATTTGCTTATAGTTAATAAAATACGCTATGAAGTTAAGTTTCACCGCCGTAAATGGAGTCTTGAGAAAAAACTAAGTAGAATAGACACCACACCCGACTTATTTGTAGTTGACATTTGTAGAGTAATACAAACGAAGCATTACCCAAACTTCTGCACAATTTTCACCACTGTATGCATTACTTAATTATCGTTACTATCGATAGTGCCATCACTTGGTTCGCAAGTCGGCTTTTGATAGTGTTGCCTTCGTGGTCGCTCTCGCTGGAGCAAATTGCGCCGTTTGTTTATGCTAAAAACAGTTTAGTAACAACCAGATCATACAGACGTGCAGTTCGGCAGTATTTTGGTGTAGCATAAACCCCCCCGACTCCATATCGTCATCCGTATCCATTATAATCGTGAATATGCCGATGTAAAATGAATGCATTGCGCAATATTTTTACATCGCGTACCCTCAACTATCTACGCCAGAATGGACAGAACGCGATCCTCAATGCAGCCCAACAACCAGCGCCAGTGCCGTTGTCCGATGCCGATGCGGACAAATCGCTGAAGGATGCCCAACGATCAACGGCGCTCTCGATACCGCGCTCCATACTCGACGCCTGCCGCTTTACGGCCAAACCGTTTGAGATAACCGGCAATGCCGCTGGGGCTAAGCCAAAGGGTTCATTGTCGCCGACAACCCTGAAGCGGTTCCGTCGCATGCAGCGCCACATGGAGATCGTCTACCTGTGCAAGCTGTGCAACACGCGCAACACGAAGACCATCAGCGAGGAGGCCTTCTACAGCGGCGTGGTCATACTCCAGTGCGATGGCTGTGCCGTCGATCATCTGATCAAGGACAATCTGGGCCTGTTCGCCAATACTGATGGCAGCATCATGAATATCGATGAGGTGCTATCGAAGCGACAGGAGCGAGTGCGCATCATCAAAGTGAACGAGCACGGTGAACTAATCTAGTTCCAGTTCCAGCCAGGACAGCGATGCAGTGTCGTCGTGTCAACACTCGGAACAAACGAAAAGGAGACAGAAAAGAGAGAGAGAGAGAGAGGGGAGAAACAACCTACCTAAACAACAATTTTACCTTCTTTTTTTTTTGTTTTGTTATGTACATATATGAGAGCCGACGGCTAAATATAATTTGTTATCGCCGGTCAAACCAGCTATGAGTAACTCAAATTGAACAAATATCTTTCATTTACTGCAATCGTGAAGAGTTCAGCGATCGATCGCCCAAAGGCATTTCAAATTTCGTTGGTATCGCTATAAATACCCCCTCACATGCACGCACACATTGATAAACAGACACGAGCACGCGCCAGCCAAATTGCTGTTTATAGTCAGGCGGTGGTAGCATATACTATATGCGATTCTACGTATTCGCTCTCATATCTAGTCTAGAGATGAGTGCGTGCTTGCTTTAGTTAGCATAACACGCACGCACCAACACAACACGAACGATTCCCACAATTCATTATTATTGTAGCTTTATTCAGAAAAAAAAAACCGTAAAGGTTTAAGTAATTTTATTATTTATAAAGTGAAATTATAAGCGAAAGAGTTAAGAGTTTTATGAATAGGAATTGTGTATCAGTTTTTCGTGCGTGTAGATCGTGCTGCGTTAGCAAAGCCGGCACGCGCGCATCTCTAATCTTGGGTGCAAATACAGCGCGTCATCGTGCGTCTGCGTCAAGGGGCCCGCCGAGCGTTTATATGATCGTGCTGCTTGACGCTAATTAAAACGTTGCAAAAACAAAATCAAAGTCCACTAAGATTTGGATTCGCTAATTGTGAGACAGCTGGTGCTAATTATTAACGCGAATTTTGATCTAAATTATCTGACGCGCTCGTGCGAATCGTAGTCCAGAGAATTGCTCAAGGACTGCTTGGCTACGCCAGAACTGCTTTATCGACGCTGCACGCAAACTACGCAGTTTGCCAAAAAACGGGCCGAAACTTGTTTGCTTAGCTTTCGGTGCTTAAGATTCTTGAGCATACAGATAGTTTAATCTATTAACTGATGATAATTGCACGTAAGAAGAACGCAGATTTTAAACAGCGAAAAGTTTTGAATGTATTCCTCTCATTAATCATATAAGTTATATGAAAAATAATGCATTTATGGTTTATTTGGCCCTCTATATGATATTATAATGGAAACTTTCTGAATTCCAGAATCTTAATTCGAGAATGTTTAATTGCCGCTTGCCTAGAATTTCGATTTTTAACCCTATCCCCAGGGAATACTGTCTGGCATCGAATTATGGCTAGCACTTGATATGCTTATCACATTCATACATACATAGATAAAAAGAATGCTTAAAAGTGAGCTCTACTGGGGACTAGTTCCTGGGTTAGTTATAGTTATCAGTGGTTATCTGTGGATGGGTTGAAAATCGAAAGTACTTGCACTATCAGAGAGGCGTATTGAATGCCACTCGAGCCGTGAATGAGGAGAGCTTATGGGCTCTGCAGGTTGATGTATGTATGATGATATGCGTTGACACATTCCAAAATAAATGAAATTTTAATTATATTTTTTATTGAAATTTACACATGTGGTTGAAGTTGGCGCCAATGATAATCTCTCTGTATGCGCCGTTTGCTTTTTGTTTTTGTGTTTGCTTAAAATAATATACATAAATATGCTAGTAGGTATATGTGTATATATTTATGTATTTGTATTGTTAAATGTTTTTTTTTTTTTTATATATTTGTTTCGTTTTTTTTTTCTTCTGTTTTTCTTTTTAATAGTTTTAGGAAGCGCACTTTGTTACGGCCTCTTAGACGAATTTTGGATCAATTCGTTTTCAAATATCTTACAGCTGCTGTTAACTATTTCGCAAGTTTTGTCATAAGAAAACACAAAATAAAATTTCAATTGATGTATGCAAGTGTTTCTGATCACACACACATGCAAACGCATCTCTCTCTCTCTCTCTCTCTCTGTGCGTGTGTGTGTGTGTGAGGATTAGTTAGTTCTTAAAGCATATGAGTAAGCAAATTGTAATCCAAATACTTAATTATACTAGTAGCTGCTGCATACATTTACATATACTTTGCTGTTGCTGTCAATTGTGCTAAATGAACTTATGCTTAGGTTTGAATTTGTTTTGTTTTCTTATAAAAGTACACAATTAGGTATGTGTGCATGTATGTGCATGCATTTGCTTGCGTGTGTATGTGTGTTTCTATTGTTGCTGTTTAATCGTTCTTCGTTAGCGAATGCAATCGATTGCAGTTGGATATCGATAAGAGCGATAACGAGGCAGCTGCGGCAAGCAGTTCAATAAATGCACATCTCAAACTATATACAAAACGAAATATGCAAATGTATGCATGTGTGTGTGTGTGTGTGAGGATCAGAAAGGGGAAGCCCGAAGAAACCTAGCAGGAGGCATCTAAGGATTGCAGACTATTCAAAATACAAAGACCATTTGGTTACTTAGATCAGTACACAAAAGTTTTGAATGGTAAACAATCGGATGTTTATAATAGAAATATTATGTAGAGTGTGCAAGTTTAATAAGCTACGGCCATGCACCGCAATTGCAGTTTATGAAATTGTTTTGATTTACCACATGTTTTTTTGTTTTTTGTTTTTTTTCATTTCGTTTGTTTTTGTTTTGTTTTTACATTTATATATTTATGTATATATATTTATGTGTATGTAAATGTATTTTTTCAGATTCAGTCGTTTATGTTGTTAACTAAAACTAGTTGGATGTATTATAATTATGTTAATGCAATAGTGCTGAGCTTAGTAACTGTTATTGTTATTGTTGCTGTTCTTGTTGATTTTGTTGTTCTTGTTGTTGTTGTTGATTTTGTTGTTGTTATTATTGTTTCAATTAAATGGCCCTGCGCATGCGCAACTCCAGTTACAATTTTTTCGTTTCTTTCCATTTTGTTTGTTTTGTTTTCGCGACTCGCACACGCATTTTAAATAAATATAGATTGTATGCATACATAATTGTACATAGAATACTTTAAGAAATACTTGTTTTTTTTTTTTTTTTCGTTTTTTGACACTTATCAATCATTTAACTAGTGTGGAATGTGTTTGCCTCGTTGCCTCGTCGAAGATCTGTTTAGTCACCATGTTGCGCATTTTGGGGGACATGTCTTTTGAATTGTTCATATCATATCGTTTCATATATATATATATATAAATATAGTTTGTATATATTTTGCATGAGAAAAAAATATTGTTTGCATTCACTTTGTTGACATTGCCACCAAAACGAGCACTCCAGCTGCCGTGCGAGCGAGACGGCAGATGTCCAAATATATATGTATATATATATATATATATATATAAGATAAAGTTTATGTGTCTTAGATCTATTAAAGTTCTTGGCTTAGTTACGGACAATTTGTAAATACTTTGAAACTTAAGTACAAATGTGAATTGGTTAACATAAAAAAAAAAATTATATATATATATATAATCCAAAATAATAAAATTATTAATAGTAAACGAATTCTATAATAATACAAATAAAATTATTTAAATACATTAAAAGGCTTTTAAAATAGCTGCCGCACATTGGCATTGGAGGACATTGCAATAATTTAGAACTGTTCGCGTATCTCTGTGTTTGTGATTGTGTGCGTGTGCGTGTGTGTGTGTGTGTGTGTGTGTATTCAGGCAAATGATAGAGTCAGGGATAGCGTACGGACCGCTCACAGCGTGGTGCGGCTGGAGCGTCCCCCAACGGCGCCGGTGGTGCCATTGGGACGATTGTGACGACGCTTGTGCAGGTAGAGGCCAGCAGCCTGGGCGAATGCCGAGCCGCATATCTGGCAGACGTAGCGCTTGACTTTATCGTGGATTTGCTTGTGGTTCTGCAGATTCTTGGTGGACTTGAAGATCTTGCCACAGATATCGCACTTGAACTCCTCGTTGCTATAATGTTGCTTCAGATGATCGAATAGGCTGTGTCGCGACACAAACGATTTGCTGCACTGCGGATAGTCGCACTTGTAGCAGCGCTCCCGCTCATCCTGATGCACAATCCGATGCGCATTCAGATGGCCCGGCGTCGCGAATGTCCGATGGCATACCTCACAGCCGAAAGGCTTGGGCCCGTCTGGTGGAAACATATCCTCCTCATCGCCGGCGCCAGAGCCAGCAGCAGCTGATGTGTCAACGCCAGCAGCAACGTCAGCATCGCCGCTGGCGCTGTCGAGTATGCTGTGATTCAGGGCCAGTGTCGGCAGGAAGAGCTCATCGTTGTGGCGACGCAAATGCTCATCATAGTTGGACTTTTCACGAAAGCTAGCGGTGCACAGTTCACAATTGTATTTGACCTCATTGCCGGCGCCCAAATGCAATTGTTTGTGATTCTCAAACTCGTCCGCATTATTGAACTGTATGTTGCACACGTTGCAATAGTAGCCGCCGCCCAGGCTCGGCTGATGGCTGAGCATGTGCAGGTCCAGTTCGCGCAGCGTTTGCACAATCTCGCCGCAATGCTGGCATTTGAATGGCGGTATATCATCGTCCATGAAGCTCATCTGATCGTAGTATATGTAGTTGGGTATAAATTTGCGACCCAGGCGCTCCGCATTCAGGCGCTCCATCTTCTGTTTCGAATAATCGAAACGCAACTGCGAGATTCGCTTCGATATCTGTATGGTGGTCACATCAATTAACTGCTGCAGCTCCATCGCCATCTGTTGCAGGCCCTCGCCGCGACGCTCCTTGCTGCGATAGTCGGGATCGAAACGATTGTAAAAGCACTGATACCGCTTCACCATGACCAACAGCTTGGCGGTGGACGTGTCATTCCAAATGGCCGAAAAGCGACGTCTATAAGATGTTTCCTGGGAAAGAATATGCCATCATTTACTAAATTATCCTTAATAGCTAGCAGGCTTTATTACACTTTCGAACTGAAATCAATTTTTTGTGCTATCGAAATATTTTGTGTAATCCAAGCCAAATGCACACACATAGAAAGTCGCTAAACATTTGCTTTTACGGGGACTCGATCTGCGAAATTCCTGTTTGATTGGGTTCTACCAAGGAATACATACATAATCACACATACATCGATCAATCAGTCAGTCTGTCAGCCAGGACGAACTTATTTATACATAAATATAGAGAGAGCGCTTTTTTGTTAAGCAGCTATTGCACTTTCCATTTCTCTTTTTTTACAGGCTTTTTAACAATTTGTTATCTGATAACTCACATGATAAAAATTTACCTTAGCAGGCTATTTTAATATACTAATAGATAGGGCATGAGTACGGCAGTTAAATTTGATATTTGAATTGAATTGAATTTGTTAATGTTAATTTTAGAAATATGTGAAAAGGCAGGATATAAATCAAATTTGGATGTGGTAAGACAGGTAAACGAACGAAGCATAAGGCCAAGAGGGTCTACGGCCAAGGGAGGGGAATCTAAAAGCTAGAGCTGAGATTCGCGCTATACATTAGCGGAGGCTTCACTGTGCTGAGAATAATACAAATACAGATTAGAGTCGCTTGGGTCGACTTTTGTTTATGCTTATCATATATATCCGATGTCAGTTCCCAGTAGAGAATATAGGCACTGCCTTTGGGCATTGAATTGCATATGAAATACGCGAGGACAGACTTACCTTGACAACGGCATCGGACATCTTTGAATTGTAGCTATAGACCTCGTTGAGAAAGTGCAGCTCCTTGAAGTACCACAGCGTGCTGATGTTTGTCTTTTCGAGGGCCATGCGATTGCACTCGCGTTTGTAGACGGTGCGCAGATTATCCCATTTGCGTGTGATGGCATCCTTGGCCAAAGAGATATTGAAACGGTTTTTGAACTCGAGCACAATCCAGTCAAGGAAGCGTGCACGCTTAATGCGATCCCGGAACTGGGCGTGACTGTGATCCCAGAGGAATGGATTGCGCTTGTACGAGTGTATCAGGAATTGGATCATCTTGCGATCCTTGATGTGCATGGTTAGCTCCCGATCGCGCTGCAAATAATGAGGTATATTTAGTTGGTGCTCAGTTAAGCTAGACCAGCTAACAGTTGGGTGCACTTACGCCAATCAGCGATTCTTCGACCATTTCATCATAGCTCAGGAAATCGGATTCACCGCCGAGCGGATTGCTGCTCTGTGCATTGTAGCTGCTGCTGCTGTAGTCTGGATACTCGCCAGAGTTGTCGTCCATATAGCTTTGCTCGCCATCGGCATATTCATCCATGGAGTCATCGGCCTCGGCAGCCAGCGGCTCGTTTTTAACAGCCAATCTGTGGACACTACGACTGGCTGCATATGGCGGCGGTGGCTGCGTCAGTTTCATGCGTGGCCTGGCGCTGGCTGTGGGTATGTCGCTTTCGGGCAGTATAGCTTCGGTTTCGTCGTCGACATCATCGTTGTCATTGTCATCGGGCACCGCCAGATTATCGTCCTCGTCCTCATTGTCGCTGCTTTCGAGCTCTTGCAGCTCCTGTTTGATAACCATTTGGGGCTCCAGCAGGGCAGTGTCTGCATCGGTCAAGTCTTCGATCTCATCAAACTGGTGCATGCCACCGTTGCCATAGCCGTGACGGGCCTCCTCCTCGTCATCGCCATCGGCTATGCCCAGCGACATGGGCTGGCCCATGGTGAAAGGCAAGCTATTGCCAGAGCTGGGACCCTCAATGCTGCGCTGTGCATCCTCCATGTGCACAGTTTGCATGTGGCCAATGAACGCATCGAAGTAGAGAAACTTCTCGCTGCAAAAAATGCAGCATAATGCGAAATACTGAAAGTCCTCGGTGGCCGTCACAACGCCACAATCCTTTGTGCATTGACGAAAAATTTCCTCATCGTTTTTACGTGGATATGCCAACACACTCATTGTGCCCCACGCGACTTTGTTTATTCCACCTTGAACTGTTTGTTTTCAATCTGTTTGGCGTCCCGTTTCACGCTGGCTATGCGGGAGCACTGCACTGATTTGATTTTTATGGTAATTCCTTTCAACAAAAAAAAAATTGTCGCCGAATTGGTTTCGTTTAGTGATGCGTGCTATGTATTGGTTTGTTTATCGTTATCGTTATCGGAGCCTTATTGATATGCTAGCCAAATGGCTTAACAAATATTTAAATTCATATACATTTGTCTTTTGAAAACTTGTTTATGATTTGGCAGCATGTATATTGCCAATGAAATTAAATCATAAACTAAAGAATCAAATTATTTCACAAGATCAAATAACGCGAAACACATTTTGATTTTCCATACATAACATCTATCTTCAAGTTTTAATATTTAATGTAATTAGAGTCTTTTCGGAAAACTAGAAAAGCAAACATGTTTTTATTTGGCACTGTCCACTTGCTAGTTTCATTGGGTGGAGGGCAGCGCTATCAACTATATCGATATTGCGATATATTTTTTTAGATATATAATAAGTAATATTTAAATTAAAAAAGTAAACGCTGACCTAAGATATATTCCTCTGGCATTTCATCTAGCCTGTATAATCCTAACCTTTAAACGTACCATGAACAAACAAATGAGTAGCAATCGGCTTGCCTCTTATGTGAGCACCATACTATCTTCTTATCAGTTGGCAAGACAAATGCACTGCGCCTATCGATAGCGGCACGCATAATCGATTGCGAGTAACAAACACCAGGGGCGATAGCAACATCGATAGCTCCGTTATTCTTCTCGAACTACTGGTCGGCGTGTGTGTTGCACTTGCATTTAATTTATAACAAATTTGTATTCGTTGGTACTTGAGATACAGAAATGGCTTCCATCAGCTTGTTGAACCCAAAGGCTGAATTTGCGCGTGCTGCACAGGCTCTGGCCATTAACATCAGCGCCGCCAAAGGCTTGCAGGATGTGATGCGCACCAATTTGGGACCAAAAGGCACAGTTAAAATGTGAGTACCTTAACTTAAATCTGAGTTTAAAGCACGGCTCCTGCGCGTGCATAAGGATTTGAGCGTTAGCACAATCGCAGCGTTATTATTAACAAACGTTTTGCGACAGCTGCGCTGCCGCAGCCGCTGCCCAATTGAGGTTAAAACCGTCGAATAGCGGCATGCGTCATCGAGCGACTGAGATAGCAATAGCGCATGTAGCCTACAAATGCAAGGTTTAAAATCAACTTGCATTTGTTTAAAAGAATGTGCTAAATTAAACCGACGCTTTAACGATTTGCTTGTTAAATGTGCAGAGACATTTTGCTTTCTGCGCTGCTGCAAATCAAGGCGCACAATATTATTTCTTTCGCTCTTTGGGTTTGCCATGTCTCACGCGCTCACACAAACACACGCGCACACACACATACACACACACTTGCAAACATATGTTCGTGTGTAGACAGAGATGGAGTCATACGTCTTGCATGCATTCTCGAACGTTCCCCATTGAATTGACTGCTAATCATCGATAAATCATAATATAATGTCATCGGTGCAAAAAGTATCCTGAAAATGTCCTAGGGAAGGTATTTTAACTTTGTCACGAATTGTTGAACGCATAACTGTTTTTTATACATTTCAAAATTAATGAACATTGTTGATTTGCAGGCTAGTCTCCGGCGCTGGCGACATCAAAATCACGAAGGATGGCAATGTGCTGCTGCATGACATGCAAATCCAGCATCCGACTGCTTCGATGATCGCACGTGCCAGCACTGCGCAGGATGATTCCACTGGCGATGGCACCACCACCACGGTGATGCTAATTGGTGAGCTGCTGAAGCAAGCCGACATCTATTTGTCGGAGGGCTTGCATCCACGCATTATGGCGGAAGGCTTTGAGAAGGCACGCGACAAGGCGCTGGAAGTGCTCGACCAGGTGAAGGTGCCTGTCGAGATTAACAAGAAGAATCTGATGGAAATTGCCAACACCAGCTTGAAGACAAAGGTGCATCCGCTGTTGGCCGATCTCCTGGCGGGCGTGTGCGTTGATGCTGTGCTGACCATTGCCGGCGACAAGAAGCAGCCCGTCGATCTGCACATGGTCGAGCTGATGGAGATGCAGCACAAGACCGATACGGACACGCAACTGGTGCGTGGTTTGGTCATGGACCATGGCGCTCGTCATCCCGACATGCCCAAGCGTCTGGAGAAGGCCTATATCCTTACTGCCAACGTGTCGCTGGAGTACGAGAAGGCTGAAGTGAACTCTGGTTTCTTCTACAAAACGGCCACGGAGCGTGAGGCATTTGTGCGTGCCGAGCGCGAGTTCATTGATCAACGCGTCAAGAAGGTCATCGAGCTGAAGCGTTCCGTTTGCGATGGCACCGACAAGACCTTTGTGCTGATCAATCAGAAGGGCATCGACCCCATCTCTTTGGACGCACTAGCCAAGGAGGGCATTCTGGCGCTGCGTCGCGCCAAGCGCCGCAATATGGAGCGTCTGGCCCTCGCCTGCGGCGGCACTGCCATGAATTCGTTCGATGATCTGCAGGAGGAACATCTGGGCTATGCTGGCTCGGTTTACGAGCATGTCCTCGGCGAGAACAAATACACGTTCGTGGAGGACTGCAAGAATCCGTTGTCGGTGACAATTCTGATCAAGGGTCCCAACAAGCACACAATTACCCAGATCAAGGACGCCATTCGTGATGGCCTGCGCGCCATCAATAATACCATTGGCGATAAGGCTCTGGTGCCTGGCGCCGGCGCCTTCGAGGTGCGCGCCCACAACCAACTGACCAAGTATAAGGAGACGGTGAAGGGCAAGGCCCGGCTAGCCGTCCAGGCCTTTGCTGATGCCCTGCTGGTCATACCCAAGACGCTGGCCATTAACAGCGGCTATGATGCCCAGGACACCATTGTCAAGCTAACGGTCGAGGATAGGCTCAGTCCGGAACTGGTTGGTCTTGATCTGGCCACAGGCGAACCCATGAAACCCGCCGACCTGGGCGTCTATGACAATTACATTGTCAAGAAGCAGATCCTTAACTCCTGCTCTATCATTGCCAGCAATTTGCTGCTAGTCGACGAGGTGATGCGTGCGGGCATGACCAGCCTCAAGGGCTAGTTCCTCACCAACTGGTGTAGCGTCTATGAGTTTCATCTAATTAATTAACCAGGCTAACTTAAAATACACAAACACACACACATATGCACCAGCAACAGCAAGTAGAACTCAAATAATGACGAGTTGCCTTAAATGGGAAATCGTTATCGCTGCTTCGATAATTTATCGAACTTCTAACAGAGAGTCAAATGATAAAAAAAATATCTTAATTTCATCAAGTATTTCTCTATATTTTTTTTATATTACTAATGTTTACTTAATACGAACCATTGGTTTAAAAAATATATTAAACACCATTTAAAAAAGATGTTGCCTTGAATTTTATTTTTATACCCTGAACCCATTAAAATTGGGTATATTGTATTGTATTTGTGCAAAATCCAAATGTATGTAACAGGCAGAAGGAAGCATCTCCGACCCCATAAAGTATATATATTCTTGATCAGCATCAATAGCCAAGTCGATCTAGCCATGTCCGTCTGTCTGTCCGTCCGTCCGGCCGTCCGTCCGTCCGTTTGTATGAACGCAAGGATCTCAGAACCTATAAGAGCTAGAGACGTGAAATTTATGAAATGTAGATGCTCTTAGTTCGATAACTTACTCCGTTTCCAAGCAATCGATACAAATCGATACCGATATCATGTTTTTTGGGCAATTTTGGTAAATAATAAGAGCTAGAGTCACCAAACTTGACATGTAGCTTCTAGAATAGTATAAATATTTGCATTTGATGTTGGAAGAAGAGGGTTCAGGGTATCCCCTAGTCGGGAGCTCTCGACTTGAGCCTCTTACTTGTTTAGACTGGGTTGGCTGGGATATAGACTGAATGCATACCGTTACTTGTGAAAGCTTTACCGCCAGAGAGGGGTTTAAATCTCTAAAACAAAATGCGGATCTCAGCATATGGTGTATTGTTCAGTTTAGTTGAGTACTCCGTTGCGTTTGTATTATCATTCTTTATTATCATAAATAGATTTAAATTAAATAAATGCAATACAATTAAGCACAATTTCATTGTACACACTATGAAATTAGATTCGCTTCATATCTGATCGCTTATTATTTGTTTTACTGTCTTACTTTCTTTTGTTTATTGCCATGTTTGCCTTTTTAACTTTCTTCGTGTGTTCTATTTTTTTTTTTAAATATTTTTATTTTGTTTTTCGTTTTAAATTAAATAAATGTGAGTATGTGCGTGTGTGCGCGTGTTATTGTGTGTGTGTGTGTGAGGGAAATTAGCGGGGCTTGCATGAGCATGTGTGTGTGTGTGTGTGTGTATGTGATTATGTGCATCTGCGGCCGCAGTCTCTATACAAGTTACAAAAGAGATCGATCGATTGAGCTTAAAGCTCACTATTCAATCTATTTATCTTTCTCTCTCTCTCTCATATTCTTTTGCGATTTCCTTTCGTTTGTGCGTCTCTTTCGTAACTTTATAGAAAGTACGCGCTCGCAGTTTTCAATATGCGTTTGCTTTCCATCCTTTTCTTTCATTTTAAATTTGTAAATTAAATAATCGCATAAATGTTAATGTGCAATTCGCTTATTCGCTTTCTGCTTTGTCTACTAAACTTTAGAAAATACGTGTTTTTTTTTTGTTTATAAAAAAATAGGCTTAGGGCAGGCGAACGCATCGCCAAACCAATTGCTGGAATTAACTCACGCTCTAAATCTAAATAAATATAAATAAATAAATTGTATATATAGTAATTAATTAAAAAAAAAAAAAAACAAAAAATATACGCTTGTCAGGCAGCTGCTCTATGTGCGAGTGTGTCCGTGTGTGTGTGTGTGTGCTGTTGGGATTCTTTCTACTTTATGTTCCTCTTCTTCTTCTGATATTTTCTATTGCATGCCGAAGCTGAAGCCCGTTTCCTGATTAATTGCGCTGTTGCTCTCATTAACGGTTTCTCTCTCGTGAGAGAGCGCTGAGCGCTGACAAGCGTGCCATGGGCGAGAGAAATAGACATAGCGTGTGAGAGAGTAGTTGTGTGTGTGCCTGTGTGTGTGGGTGTATGGGGATGAATGCGTGGGTGTCTGTGGTGGTGACAAATTTGTGTTGTGTATGGTTTTTGTTTTCCTTTTCTTTTCTTTTCTGTTTTCATTTTGTTATTGTTTTTTTTTTTCAGTGTTGTGTGCGCCTAAACTTATGCTACGATTTTGTGCGGCTGCATCCATTTCTTCATGTAGTAGCAGAACAATGTGGAGATATAGAGCAGGATCATGAGCGCACAGGTAACGGCCAGCGCCAGCACCGACGTCTTCGTGGGGCATGGCTCGATAATGGTGACAGTCTTGTCTGCAAATGGAGGGGTGGGGTGGAAAGAGACGAAACGAGTTTTAGTATTTGTGGTTATGTTCGAGGGGGAATTGTTTTTATGGCTAGTTAGCTGCTGCTTACCTTTGGCAAAGTCTGTGCTTGGATCTGCCTTGAAGAATTCACGCTTCTCATCGCCAAAGTCCAAGACCAATATCTCCTGCGAGATGTTCATATGATCCTCGCTCTTGGTGTTATTGCTAAGCAAGAGAAAGAGAGAAAGAGAAGGAGGAATTAAGAACACATTCTTGCTTTTTCTTAAGAGATTAGGACGCTCACCTCTCGATGGAACGACGACGCCTTCTGCCCAGAGATTCGAATGACTCCATGTTCCATTCGCAGACGGCCGGTTCACAGGGGCCCAGACAGTATTTGACATTGCACTGGAAGATGACGCCGTAGCTCTCGGTAAAGCGGAATGCCTCATAGGTGGACTGCAGCGCATTGCCGTCGGCGGTGAAGCCGGGGAAAATGGTGGGATCTGTGGGGCAACCATCGTCGTCGATGATCTTGAAGCTGGTGCGTGCATCCTTGGCCATGGCAACGCAGCTGCGTGCAAAGATGCCGTAAGGAGCTGCAAGCAGGAGAGAGTGAGAAGGTTAGCAGTGACTCTCAGGCTCAGCCAAGTGTTGCACTCACTGTCTTCGGGTATTTCAATGCGGAAGTTGAGGCGATCGCCAATGCGCACAGTTTCCACTTCGCGTTGGCGTGTATCCAGGATGCGAATCCTTGGTGGTGGCGCCTCCGGCGATGAGTTGATGTGTATCATATCGGGATCGCGTATGGGCATCATGCCGAACGTGATGTTCTTGGAGCTCATATCATATGTGCACTTCACCTTGTAGATCTTGTCCGCCTTGGTCATCACGACGCTGTGGTGCTGCAGCACCACCGTGTTCGAGTAGACGCCAGTCTGCGGAGCAAGCGAGATAATGCTTCCGTTCGCAACGAGGCAAATGCATTTGTGTACTTACCACGCTCTGCGTGTTGCAATCCTGTCCGATCATGGTCAGATCGAGGCGGAAGGCATCCGAATTGATCACATCAATGTTGCAGGTCTCCGAGCGGCCCAAGGCGTAGATGCGTCCATTGAAGGGCTTGTTGGTGCGCACCTGGACGGCAATGCGTGTGTCCTTGCAGTGCACGGAGACTAAGAGGGCGCAGAGAGAGAGAGAGATTGAATACCGAAATTCGCTCCAGCTATTGGTGGACTTACCGTCGTAGCAGGTGCCCGTCTTGTCGCAGTTGACATCGTTGCGCGTCATGTTGGTCAAGTTGGGATCCTCGATGGTGTCCAGGCTGACGGGCAGTGTATCGATCTTGTCCAGCGTGCCGGGCGGCGAGTTGTTGGTGCCAGCGGCTGCGGCTGATTTCTCGCACTGATTCTCAAAGTACTGGCCAATGGGCTCGCCATGATCGATCAGCGGACGCTCGTGATTCAGATAGGTGGACGGGCCATCGGGCAGCGTCTTATGATCCAGATGATACAGCCGGCAATTGTATTGGGCGCCCTGCGGCTGGCCCAGGTAGAGGAAGGAGCGGCACAGGAATTCGGACTCGATCTCACAGGCCAGGCGGCAGGCCGACTCGGAGGTCACCTGCAGCTCCTTGTCCGTATAGTAGTGCAGGCCCACATACTGGGCCACCTTCTCCTCGGAGACGCCCATCCTGGCGTTGGCAAAGGAGCGCGTATTCTTGCACGCTTGCGTCGGCTTCAGGCACAGATTCTCAAAATAGTCGGTGCCCTGGGCATCCACCAGCTGGACAAATTGCCCGGAGCTGCGCCGATCCGAGTCGCTGAGCACACACTTCATGTTATTGTAATCATATTCGACGGAGCGGCAAATGAAGCGCTTCTCGTTCAGGCAGGCCGACAGACACGCCTCCTTGGTGCTGGTATAGATGAGAGCATTGTCTAGCCCGCGGATGATCTTGTTGGGCACACGCTCAAACGACCACGGACGATGGCAGACATTCTCGCTGCGCAGCTGCAGCTTCACCATGTAGTACATGTTCGCCGAACGCTGTGGCGCCGCCGACGGATTGGCCGCGGACGAATCGTTCTGCAGCTGGCAGTGCGTTTCCTGCGACGGCGACAGAGGATTCACAACGAAGCTAAATGCCGCCGCCTGGCAGTCGGCCTCCTCGCGACACCAGCCCTGGCACTCGTACAGCGACAGGTTCTTCACGCTGTAGTACGTGGTGCCCGCGAAATCATAGTCTGTCAGCTTCTCGAAGGCCATGCGTGCCATTGCCTGCCCGGGCAGCATCATCAGCATGGCCAATCCCAGCGTGATCAGCATGAGCCCGCCAGAGATTCTTGATGTTCTGGCTGTTCCTTGTGTATTGCTGCTGCTCCGCCGGCTGCTGCTGCTGCTATTTCCTGCGGTTTGCATCTGAAAGTAAGGAGGAGGAGGAAGAAGCAACGTTTAGTTGTGGTTGCGTGTCTTGATCGCCAGGTGGCGTCTGTTGAACAGTGCTGCCAATTTAGCTATTCCTATATATAATTTTGGTTATGTCAGCTTTGCCTGCTATTTTAGCGGGTTTCTTGCTAAATTTAACAGCCTTTAGTCTTCAGCAAAAAATTGTTATCATAGCTGCAGTGTTGGCTATTTTCTAGCTAAATAACTAAATAACTGCCTGCAATTGCGGCTGTTTTTTTTTGGTTTCCCACATATTGGGATTTTAGCTGCTATGTTTTAGCTATTATTCACTTTAAACTATTTTCAACACTGGTTTCAGCTACATTTCTTGACCGCCAGGTGGCGTTTGGCATGCAATAGAATTCGGTTCTGCGGCTTGTACATCCGGCTCCATTACACGCTTAACTGAGCCCCGGGCGAATCAGCGAACCAATAAGAACTCTGGCCAACTACGCTAGAGCCCACATTGGCCTGCATTTGTTAAGAGTTTAATGAGCTGCCCCGACGGAAATTACAATGGCTCGAAGAGGCGAGAAGAGGCGGCGTTCCACTTGT